CTTGTGTATCAACGATATTACATTCAAAGTTGTTCAAACCTGAGAGGAAATGAGTGTTGCATATTTGTTCGCGAGTCACATTACACATTAAATACTGAAATACTCTATTTCTATGACATAATGTTATTTCATCTGTAAATGCACTTATCATGTTCTTTCTTCAAACTTTCTGTTATCATTTTCTTTACTTTCTAATCGTGTCTCCATTGAACAGATATTGTGGATAGGTTTTAAAATAATTCCTGGAGAACTGGCTTCTTGTCCTTTTCAAATATAGATTTTCTTGTACAAAAAACAGTATCACAAGTAAACACTTTTCGAAACCAACGTCACTGTCATATCAGTTTGTGACTAACTGAAAAAAGTGGCTATGAATATGGAGAGGGAGAGGTAGAGAGAAAGAGAGAGAGAGAGAGATCTAACAAATTAAAGATCCCTCTCCTAGATCCATAGTATTCCATAAATCCATACTACAACATTATAACCCACGCTTCTGAATCTCCAATATTCTCTAACCTCCAATTTTCAGCGTGGTACAGCGGTTGTACCACGCAACCAGCGCATCGTCGACGCCCATTGTTTACAAACAAATCACCAAGCTCTCTCCTCTATCTCTCCATTATCTCGTTATCTGTCTCTTCCTCTTTATCACTTTACCGCGATTCCACGTTCACCACGATCACACACCCGTAGGCGAGGAAGAAGGTGAACTTGACCACAACGTAGAGAATCCGGAAGGCCAAGTCTATGCGAGCTAAAGGTTCGTCGCTTTTCCACACGTCCTTCGTCGCCAGGTCCGCCTCCTGGCTGCGTGTCAGGGTCGTGCACATCCGGATGTCCAGGTCGAGGATGATGTGGTAGATTACCTGAAATTATTATTTCATTATTATTACTTATTATCATTATTATCGTTGATTTTTATTTTTTATTATTATTAGTAGTAGTAGTATCATTATTATTATTATAATTGTTACTATTATGGTAATAATGATCATTATTATCATTATCACTATTATTACTATTATCACCAGTAATGTTGTTATTATTATTGTTACTATTATCATTATCATTTTTGTTGTTGTTATTATTATTATTATCATTATCATTATTATCATTATCATTATCATCCTCATCATTATGATGATGATGATGATGACATCACTGTTGTTGTTATTATCATCATTACTATTAATGTTATTGGCATCATTATTATAGTAATCATCATCATCACCACTATTAGTATTACTATCATTACTATCGTTGTTCTTATCATCGGCATTATCATAATTACCTTTAATGTTGTTATTATCATTATCATCATTCTCATTTACATTATCATTATCATTATCCTTTTTCTTCATTAATGTAATGTTAGATTATTAATACCATCATTATTCTTCATTACCTTTAATGCTTATATTATCATTATTAACATTATTCTTCATTAATGTAATATCATTACCATCATCATTCTTCTTCCTTACATTTGATACTTATATTACCATCATCATTATTCTTCTTCATTACCTTGAATGTTTATATTGCAATAATCATTATTATTATTCATTTCCTTTAATGCTTATATTGTCATTATAGTTATCATTATTTTCATTACCGTGAATGTTTATTTCGCAATAATCATTATTATTATTCATTTCCTTTAATGCTTATATCATCATTATAGTTATCATTATTTTTCATTACCGTGAATGTTTATATTGCAATAATCATTAACCATTCTTCATTTTTTAAATATATTATCATTACCATCATCATTATTTTTCATTACCTTGACTGTTTATATCGCATAATCATTAACATTATTCTCCATTTCTTAATACTTATATTATCATTACAATCATCATCAATACTTATTATCATTATTCTTCATTACCTTGACTGTTTATATCGCAATAATCATTAACATTATCTTTCTTTGGCCTCCTTCCCACCTGCGTGAACATGATCGTGATGGCGAAGAAGCACCAGACGTCGATCGCCTTCGTGTAGGCCGTCTTCGGGAGGTCCTCGGAGATCTGCTGGTAGAGGGCGTAGAGCACCAGCAGCGTCGTCAGGGCCATCATGACGCGCAGGTCGACGTTCTCCCGCTTGCAGAAGAGGGAGGCGTAGCTAATTAGCATGAGCATGACGGTGGGCAGGTAGGCGGAGGTGACGTAGGACCAGAAGCGGCGGTGGAAGGTGACCCCGACCTCCGCCACGCTGTAGTTGCGGGAGGAGGAGGACCTCTGGATGCTGATGGCGTCGACCTCGTACTCCGTCAGGAAGGTCTTGGGGGTGGTGGAGGAGGGTGGGGGTGGTGGAGGGGTTGGAGGAGGTGGAAGGAGGGGGGGGAGGGAAGGAGGAAGGAGGGGGGGTGGAGGAGGGGTTGGTGAGGTGGTGGAGGGGGGGGGAGGAGGAAGGGGAGGTAGGGTGAATGGCGTATGGGAGAGAAGGTGAATATCTTTAATCTATTTAAATATTTCAGAGTTGTTTTCATTGTGATTATGTGTAGATTAAGTTTATCCGTTAGTAAGGACATGATTAGTAAAACTGCGTGTGTTTATTTTTATCTACACATCCAGAACATGTACATAAGAATACGAAAACATACAAGGAATAAAATGAAATGTGAGTATCTACCTCCCCCAAATAAGTGACCTCAAGGCGCCTCCAGTCCAAGAAGTCGACCCTGGCGGAGGTGAGAGTGAGGAGCAGCTTGCAATGTTGAGTGTCGAAGGGGAACATCCTGAGGTCCATGTTGCACACGAAGGGGGCGTTCATCTTGTGACTCAGTTGCAGAGGGTTTTTCTTACCTTCATATACCTTATCTTGGATTGAAAGAAAATGTACGTAAATATCAGATTACAGTTAATAATTGCCTTATCTTGGATTGAAAAAAAAAAAAATGCACGTAAATATCACAGTTAATAATTGATAAAGAATTTGCATATTGAATTTTACTTAGATAAATAAGACATATTAAATACAGACATCAGCTCTTTGCAGAAAAAAAAACATATGATAAAAAAAAAAACACTCAACAAAGCAAAACATATGAATAATTTGCTATAAAATCTTCACCAGAATTACAAACCAAATTACGAATACGTAAATTTCTCCGGTAATTCACCAGCTCCTTTTACTGACCATGACAAACTCTACTCGGGTCATCCTCTTCTGGATCAGAGTCCCTGGACACAGTCAGCACCTGGGTCGTCTTGTGAACCCTCGGGAAGTCAGCGTTGGTTAACTCTATCGTTGGATTCCAGACTGCAGACGGCTGTTTCGTGAGGTTTTAGGTTTTAAAAAATCAGCATATGTGAATTTATTTATGTATAGGTAGATACATGCGCAGACATACATATATATGTAGAGATACTGGTACATACATATTTACATACATAGATATTTGCATATATACATATATACATACATATACACATACATGCATAGATACGCGCGCGCGCGCGCGCGCGCGCGTGTGTGTGTGTGTGTGTGTGTGTGTGTGTGTGTGTGTGTGTGTGTGTGTGTGTGTGTGTGTGTGTGTGTGTGTGTGTGTGTGTGTGTGTGTGTGGTTTGATGAAAAGAAAGTAATTTCTTATGTATATTACCTTGACATAGTTGATGTCGTCCAGTTCTTTAAGGTTCTGGTATTGAAGCCTCATGTCATACCATGATAGTAGTAAGGTGAAGTCCACCGTCAGCTTCATGTCTTGGACGTTGATCTGTAAAATGATAATATATATATGTATATATAGATATATATCGATAGACATAATTTCACCAATATGCTATTTGTCATGATATAAAACACGGTCCTTCTCTCTCACTCTCTTTCTCTCTTTCTTTCTTTCTTTCTTTCTCTCTCTCTCTCTCTCTCTCTCTCTCTCTCTCTCTCTCTCTCTCTCTCTCTCTCTCTCTCTCTCTCTCTCTCTCTCTCTCTCTCTCTCTCTCTCTCTCTCTCTCTCTCTCTTTCTCTGCCATTCAATTTTCTGTACAACTTATCATGAACCATGTCTATCTACCCATCTAATTTCCAAAATTATCAAGCCATTATGATGGAAAAAGTGAATCAACAAACAAATACATAAATAAATAAGACTAAATAAACAAAAACTAAATAAATAAAGACACACACACAAACAGACTAAATAAACAAAAATAAAATAAAAGACACACACACAAACAAATAAAAAATACACGAACGAATAAAAAAAAAATACAGTGCACTCCCCAACCTCCGAAAAGCCATGCAGACTGATGGACAAGTTGACCCCCAGTGGACCCCCAACCTGACTCCCCGGAGGCGTCAGCTGAGAGAGGTAGTCTTCGGGTAACACCAGTTTATCGCAGCCGATCTCATCACTGTTATCGGGACAGTCCACTCTCAGGTCGCACCGCTGTTCCAGGTCGATGCAGGTGCCGTCTTTGCAGCTGTATTCCCAGTCGTAGCAAGCGGAGAGTCCCAGGGTTACGAGGGATCCTAAGTGTAAGGTGAAGGATGTGGTAAAAGAAGGATAATAAGGTGTTTGTGGTTAGGTCAAAGAATTTATGGAGTAATATTTATGTAGTAACACTTCTCGTAAGGTAACGTTTATATTTCCAGTATAAAATCATAAAAGAAGACTGAATTAGTTAGTTCAAAGAATATATATGTAGTAACATTTATGTAGTAACACATTTCTCGTAAGTTAATGTGTGTAAATATTTTTCCAATATGAATCGATAAAAGAAGACTGAATTAGTTAGTTCAAAGAATATATGTAGTAACATATATGTAGTAACACTTATTTCTCGTAAGGTAACGTGTGTAAATATATTTCTAATATAATTTCATAAAAGGAGACTGAATTAATTAGCTCAAAGAATATATGTAGTAACGTTTATGAAGTAACACATTTCTCGTAAGTTAAAGCGGGTAAATATAATCCCAATATAAATTGATAAAAGAAGACTGAATTACTTCAAAGAATATTTGTAGTAACATTTATGTAGTAACACATTTCTCGTAAGTTAACGTGTTCACTAGATATATCCAGAGCTCACAATCAGACCCACCCATCCACTCACGTATACCAATCAACCACGAAACCTAATTCTGTTTATTTCCTACCTTCTAGTTTATCACACACTTCATAACTGGTGTTTATAACCCACTCTCTCACGCCCAAAGGATATACCCCGGGCTGTCCTTGGTGAGTAGCCACTGTCCTGTTAATCCACATGTTATATAAGTGCCACTTGTTACTCTCTTCTTCCAGGTAGATCAGGTACTTTGTGAAGCCTCTGAGGAAATAGAGAGTTGGGCTTGTAAATTAACCCTTATTGAGTGATGATAGAAAGAGATTTTGAGTCTTATTGAATGATATTAGAGAGATAGTGGTTGTGACGTAAACAGTAATTAGGTAGATAAATACATAAACATTTGAATGAATAGATGAGTAGATATATACATAAGCATGTGAATAGATACATATCAATAGACAAATAAGAATATAAGTGAATAAACGAATGAATGAATAAATAAGAAAAGTACATAGACAAATTCATAAATAAAAAGATAAGTACATAATCAAATGAATGAATAGATAAGAAAATAATTACATTAACAAATGAATGAATAAAGGAGAAAATAAGTACATAACCAAATGAATAAATACATAAAAAATAAATACATAAGAAAATAAGTACATAAACAAATGAACAATACAAGAAAAAATAGACAAATACATAAATGCATAAACAATTGAATGAATAAATAAGAAAAAAAGTACATAAACAAATGAACAATACATACGAAAAAAAACAAATACATAAATAATGAATGGATAAATACGAAAAAAGTGCATAAACTGAATGAATAAATAAAAAAGTACACAAACAAATGAATGAATAAACAAGAAAAAAACTACACAAACAAATGAATGAATAAATAATAAAAAAATACACAAACAAATGATCAAACAAAAAAAAATAATAAAAAAAAAAAAGTTTCCCAGCATCCCCAACGCACTTCAGCAGAACCCTATCCCCGCGCCGCTGCTGGAGGGTGAACCAAGCAGCCTTCTCGTCCTGCTCGCACAGCCCCCTCATCCTCAGAACCAAGGGCGCCGCCTCATCCTCCTCGCAAGCAACGCAGAACTTGTAGAGCGAACCGCACTTGACGTCGTCCCATTCCTCGACGTAAGGTGGGACGAGCAGGGAGGCGCAGTCGAGGGTCCCGGATGTGGGGGCGTCTTGGAAGTTGGTGTAGTTGAGGGGTTGGTCCTGAGGGGGGGGGATGGGGGGAGGGTGGGAGAGGGGGGATGGGGGGGTGGAAGGATGGGGGTGGGGTTAATGGTGGGTGTTTTTTATTGGTGTTGATTGGGGTGTGTTATTAGGATTTTTATTATTATTGTTATAGTCGTTGTATTGATGTTATTGATTGTGATCATCGTCATTGCAATCGTCAATGCCATCTTTATCATCATTATCATTACTATCATCATCATCATCATCACCATCATCATCATCATCACCATTACTACATTAAAAAAAGTAAAAAAAAAATCCTACCTCAAAATCCGTCCAGCGCCCTTCTTCCCCTTCGTCAGTAGCTGCGATCCACAGGAATCCCTTGGCGTGGTTGGGCGGCTGACACACGCCCGCAAAAGGTTCGCTGATGTGGTACAGGAGGGCGTTCTCTTCGGCGTCCTTCGGGAGAGCCATTTTGCTTTTTAATTTCTCACACCAGCGGATGGCGTCAGTCTGGCTCCGTCTCTCGGGGAACACGGTCATGCGAGCTCTGGGAAAATATTTATTCGGTTGATTAAGTTAATATAGATTAATTTAATATAGATTGTTAATATAAGGAAAAGGGAAGTAGGGAGATAGATAATTGCTTTGGATTGGTTGGGGTTTGAAGGAGAAATGTTTTTTGTTTCTCTTTAGTTATCAAAAAATCATTCGTTTCTTCCTTAATTTTGATCGCTCTGAACCACAACAGAACCACACAATTCTCAACATTAATATTTTCCAACGTTCACTCCATCTCTCCCTCTCCCTCTCCCCCCCCCCCCCCCCGAGGAGAGAATCCACATCAAAACCCACACACACCTTTTCGTGCAGTAATCCACCCGTGACACGTCCACCTCTTCCACTGGGCCTCTGAGGACCCACTGGGCGGAACTCCAGCCCACCAGGTCGCCTTCGTCAGCGCCTTCAGAACATGCTGCTAAGGACGCCACTTCGATGGGTTTCAGGGCCCTTCTGAAGAGGCTGTGGAAGGGGGGAGAAATGCGAAATGATGAGAAGGATGAAGCTGATTGGTGATGGAAGGAGTAATTGTGATGTGATAATGATGATTATGATGATGAAGTGATGATAAGAGTCATGATGATATTGATTGTAATGATGAAAGTAATGGTAATAAGAATAAGAACAGTAATAATAGTGATAACATGATAATGATAGTAATAATTATAATAATAATGAAGATGATGATGGTGATGATGATAATGA